TGAGCTGGTGAGATTTGAACAGCTGAACTGCAGAACTGCAGTCAGCTGAAGTAGCCTGCAGTGCTGCATTTAACCACTGCGCCACCTCGGCTCTACAAAAGGGGTTCCTGGGACACAAAGAATTTCCTTTTTGGAATTCCAGTTCTCTTTGCAGGAAAATAACACCTCTTTCCCCTTCATGGATTACTGCCTTGTTGTGGCAAAAGGGCTTGCATAGCTCAATGAAGCTAGGAGCTATGCTGTGCAGGGCCACCTATGATGGACAGGTCATAGCAGAGGGCTCTGACAAAACATGATCCAGTGGAGAAAGAAATAGCCATGAAAACCCTATGGACAGTGTTGCCCATGGGGTCGTGATGAGCCGGACATGACTTTGCAACAAAAACACTTTTTTGCATTAGCTGTTTGTTCAGGATTTTTTTTTCTTGTGAAAAGTTCAAGAGAAAGAATGGAACAGCTGAGGACTACTTCCAGGAGTTGCCTTCTTCTAATGTGAAGTTAAGCCAAACAGGTCAATTTAGATCATTTTAAAAACTTAGTATTCATTTATTTTTATTTATTGATCAAGTGTACATGGCCAGCTATCTTGTGGAAGGTTTTGTGGGAAGGATAGCTATGTTCAAAGATACAGCAGTTTAATCATATTTTTATTAAGGCCAGGGAAACTACGATCGCTTCTAATTTCTGGCAAGTTACAGTTTGATTGGATTGTCATACTCAGAATTACAGGACAGATAGAACAGCATTTCTTTAGCAAAATTATTTCAGTCTGATCTGACAGATCATCATAAGTTGTAACTCAGTGCATGTGAATGCACGTCACATTGTTTTTCCAGATTTTTACATGGCTGAGAAGGAATTACTGTATAAATATTGAAAAAGAGGAAGATGATTGCATATAATGTTTGACCTAAACTTTATTGGCACATGATTGTATCACATGAATCACATAGTTCAGCAAAGCAAGTGATTTGGATCAGAGACACTGTTTAGTAAAGTCATGGTGGTTGAGAATTCTGGGAGTCCAAACTATCTCAAAAATAATTAGTACACTTGATGCAGTACATTCTTCGATAGCGAATGTCACTGATAGTAATTTTAATACAAGAAATTTACTATACTTTATGATGGTTATTAATACGAATAGATGCCTTCCGGTTAGGAAATTCACCATGAGGACACTTAAATCACCACGGTGATCATTACAACTCGTCTACCTCACCGTTAGGCTTGCCAACACGTGATACGCAGCACAACAAAGCAGGGAACCACCATCGCGGTCGTTTACGATCACGCTCCCAGCATCCCGTCCTAAAGAGAAGCAATATCCCCACCTTCTATTCGTCTGTGGAGGGACTCGTCTCAATATTCCCCGTTTACATTCCTGGCAGATGTGCGCAAGCCAATGCAGAAAAATAAAGCAATGGACGTCTCCGGCCGGCCCTTGTACTTCTGACAGATAATACCCCCCTCCCACCCCAGGAGATGGGGGAACTGCATTCAGCGGCAGGCCCATCTCGTCTCTTGTGTTTCGGCCATGGCTTAAGCGGAGTCTCTCCCGCAGCCGAAACTTTAGTTGCCCGAATCCCCTCGTCGCGATCCGTCGGGTTTTTGACTTTGAATCTTACAGCGTTGGTCCGCCCCGTCCGAGACGTTCCGGCCGGTCCTCAGACGGCTCCGCAGCGGTGGTTCGCTTTGCTTTAGCGCCAGGCGCCGAGCCCTCCCCCGCCCCTCAGCTTCTCCCTCCACGTCGCTAGTCTTGCAGGGCGTCCCCCTTCCTTCGCCTCTCTCACACCATTCACCCCCCTCCCCACCGTTGCGTATCTGGGGGCCGCCTCTTCTCTCTCCACTTGCTGACGACAAGCCCGCCCAAACTGCCCTCCGTCTTCCTCCCCCCTCCTTCTTTCCTCCCTCAGAGAGAGAGAGAGAGGAGCTGAGCGGAACGGTCCCGCCTCCGGGTCCCCGCCCTTCCCACATCCGAGCCAGCGGCCGCTCAGACTAGCCGCGCCGGCACCGAAGGGGACGAGGGAAAGCAGCCTAGCCGCCCGTGTGGGGGGCAGCGACGACCCCGCCCCACCCCTTCGGCCAGCTCCGCTCGAGCGGTGGTGGTGCCGAGGCAGCCCGGGCTCGCCTCCCTTTTAGCTCGCCAACTCGGTTTCTCGGCCGGCCGGCAGGAGCCAAGCGGCGCCATGGGCTGCACGGTGAGCGCCGAAGACAAAGCGGCCGCCGAGCGTTCCAAGATGATCGATAAGAACCTGCGGGAGGACGGCGAGAAGGCGGCGCGGGAGGTGAAGCTGCTCCTCCTCGGTAAGGTCTCCTTTCCGCGAAAGCGCCCTTCCCCAGACCCCCACCCCACCCTCACCCGCCCAGCCCCAGCGCTTGGTCGGTGGGGCTCGCCTCCCTGGGATCCGCTTCCTTGGGAGGAAAGGCAGGTCGGGCTTGCTGCCCAACAAACGGACCGGGAGGGACAAGCGCGCCCACGCCCTGGCCGCCTGGCTTCCGTGCCCGACGTCTGCTTTCCGCCACCTCCCTGACTGCGCCCCCTCTGCACTCGAGGGACTTTCCGCTTCTGCGATCGGCCGGCTGCTGAATCGTTGCCTCGGGCTTTTGGCGGCCGCCATATCCCTACCCTGGGCGCAGCGGGTGAAGGATCCCCGCGTCGTCCCGTTCCCCCCACCTCCAAGACTCCCTTAGTAAGGCAGCCGGGGTTGTTTAGTTTTATGCGGCGTCCAAAGAGTTACAAAGCCCGGGTTGCGGGTATGTGTGTGTGTGTAGGCAAACCCGCCCTATCCGAGCATCCCATTTTGTTTTCCCAAGCTAAACAACTCGACTCCTCATGACCACAGTTTGGTTCCACCCCCCCCCCCCTTCCTTCGTCGTGGGCTCTTTTGCTTCTCAGGAGAGCTGACATGGCCATGCTCCCAAATCAGTCTGTAAAATACATCCCCACGGAGACGTTTTTTTTCCCTTCCCCTCTTTAGCCTACTCGGTTTCTAAATTTGGCTTGGCACGTCCAGTCCTCAGCTGCTTTTCCTTTATAGTGGGTGATCCTTCTGAAAACCTACCGAGGCCACAACCTTAAAATATGCCTGAGCCCTGAATCCCTCCCCTGCCCCGTATGTTTTTCATTCCTCCCACAGGCCTCACAGTTTTTGTTTCCGTTATCAGTGGATAGCCGTTGATGGTGGCTCCGTATTTGCTACTTTCTGCCACCTGTGGTAGTCTTGAGGAAGAATAATTTCAACTGCAAGTTAGCCACAATTGTTCTAGAAAGCAAACCCTTCTGGTCTCCAAAAGATTATTGCTGTATCATTTCCACCTAGCCTATTCCCTCAGTGTCCCTCTGCAGAGGATGGGAGTTGTAGTTAAAGTACAGCAGATTGGAAAGAAGTTTTCCCAGCAAAGAAAAATAATTTCGTGCCCTCTGAATATTTTGGTCGAAGGCTNCAATCAAGCATGGGCCTCAAAAGACAGACAGCCTACAAAGTTAGCTAAGACCCCACCCCCTGGGAGTCTGACCACCAATGAGGATACATTTCTTAAACAGGAATAGGAAACTCCAAGGTGGGGTCCAAGAGAGGGTATAAAACTCAGGCTCTCTCAGCATCCGGCCCCATTTTCTTCAAGATCTTTAAGGCGTGTGATGCCCTTTTTCTCCGGGACCTCAAACCATGTGGTCCTGTCCACCATTAAAACCATCTTTCCAATCAGCCTCCATGTTTCCAGGGTCCTTCTCCACACTTGGAACTGAATCCAGATGGACATTTCTTCCAACAGAAGGGAGAGCTCCAAATTGAGTCAAAGTTAAGGGTCTTCTTAATTTAGATACTAATGTAATTTAACTATCTCACTGGTCTAAAAATATAGGACTGATCAGAAAACATTCCTGGGCAGTAGAGATTTATCTTGACATCTTTCTATGTTCAGAGCATGTTGTGTCAAAATTCTCTTGGCTTGTTAATATTGCAAAGGAAGGAGAGGGTCCTACAGAATTTCTCTAGCAACTATCACTTCTACCAAGCACTTTACAATGTATCTATCAATTCCAGTTCCTGACACACCTCTATCATTCTCATGCAAATTTTTTAAAAGTCTAACATACCAGCATTTTTTCAAATTAATTAGCTTTGTTGATGAATAGTACTTCTTGGATATGTTATCACCAACCAATACACATAAGCCAAAATGATTGCAATAGGCCTTCTGAAGTTTCCTCCCTGCAATCAAATTCCATGAAACTTGAAATTTAAATTTGTTTAAATTGCCATCCATCCAGCTGCTTATTCAAAAAACTGCCTGTTACATGTCTGCTTCAGACATAAAGGAGAGTCAGCTTGGCTAGCCCAGAGCAGAAAATTTGCATCTTTTTTGCTCTCCTCACAGTGGGAAATTTTGCGGCTCACTGACCTTAAGATGAGATGCAAAAGTTTTATTTATGTTACCAAGGTGCATAGATACACAGTTTTAGACTTTCCTGTTCTCTCCTTAGGAAATCACTTTGTTGCTAAGCTTTGGGGTTGAATGAAGCAATTACCCACTTCTTGTCCAAACCAAAATGTAGCCAAGTGGGTTACAGAAAATAAATGAATGCGATGTTATAGGTTGGAGAAAATGTTATTTCTGAAGGGCCTAACTGGTTTGAATACCTATAAACTCTCACAAGTTCAAGGAATGACCAGAGATTATCGAAGCATAGTTTTTTCTGACTTTTGCACTCAATATGAATATTCACATAATTGGCTCTTCTCCTATAGTTTTGCTAGATATATTGGAGAAGAATGACCAAGGCGCCAGGTTTTGTTTTTACTGTTTTTAATGATGTTTTGGGTTTTTATTATTGCTGTGAGTCACCAAGCTTCGTGTTTTAAGATGGGTTGGCCATCAGAGTCTTTTAAATAAATAAACTGGTCCTGATTAATCTATAATCCCTTGTAAGAGTAAATATTTTTGGTTGAATTGGGTTCACAGAAATTGCATTTGCATGGAAAAGAATTCCAGCTTGATATACCGCACACACTTCCTGCCCATATTTAGTTGAGCTCATCCTGCTTTACCAATCCTTAAAGTATCAAGATTTACAGAAACATACTTTGGGAGACTCATGTGCTACAGTCGGGAATATTTTCCAAGGAAACTCACTAAACAAGCAAAGTGAAACAACAATAATCCCTTATTATCTCTGAATATCCCTTTTCTTTTCTGCTTGATTGGAAGACTTAGTTTAGATGCACGTTTTTCAGGGTAATTTCCTCGATAAGACTATGCAAATCACAATAATAGTATTTGAAAATAGTAACAGGGAAACAACTTGTTCACACATACTTTCTATGTATAAATCTTACAAGCTGTTATATGATAGGTACGATATGAAGTTAACTATAGTTTAGCCCTTCAGCCTGGTTTTTATTTTAAAATTTAATTCCCTGTCCTCTATCCTTTAACTGGCTTATAACACATATGAAACAACATAATGTTCATCATCAGAAGGCAATAAAAAAAGAACCATAATAAAATTATAGCAGTCATAAAATAAAGCAACCATCAGAGCATAAAATCACAGCATCTAGTGCCAAACATTTCAAAGAAATATTTACTGGAATAAAGGACCTTTGTTATAGCTAAGAATGTACACATACATCACAGCAAGGTGCTCATATGTCTCAATTTACCATAACTTTTTAAAGGTGTTCAGAGTGCACAAGGGATTTGTCTTGTGGATGAGGCTGAGAAATGGAAATATGCCTGAGATCACTCTGGCAATTGCTATGAAGATTTTGTTCGAACCCACATTAGCTTTTCTCAGTTGTTGCGAGAGCTATGAGCAGGATTTTTCAGTGGTTCTGAAACTGAACACGAGAGAACAAAACCTTAATTTAAATAGAGACATTTTGTTTGAACTTTAGGAGGCACTTTAAGATATCTGGGGAGAGTAATTTAGGTGCCACTTGAAGAATATTATATATCAGATCATTCTACATTATCCAAACCAGTGATAACATGGAAGTAAAGGAGAAGCAGGTTTTATTTAAAAAAAACAAAACTTTCATATCGTTTATGATCCATGGTTGATCTAAATTTTCCTGTATCCCAGAAACAGACCCATCTTACATTCCCTTAGTTTTCCTGAAGTCGAAAAGCATCAGCTATTGAAATAGATGAGGAGGTGGGAGGAAAAAAATCTGACTTCTTTCTCCCAAGATTGAAGCTATGATTGTGACCTTAAGGCAGAAATCCTAGAGATCTAGTTGCCCTGTTGAGGTGTCTTAGAAGCATTACAAAACTACAGATTTTGTGGCCTTTAACTATCTTGCCTTTCCTCCTTTCTTGTCTCTTGTTCAACAAATTGTTCACCTTAGCATTTTAACTACAAATCTCTTGTTTGGCTAAACAGAACCTTAGAATTTACTGCATGTTCACACTGGATTCTGCATAGTCACATACAGATTCTGAAAAGAGTAGGGGAAATATTAAAAGTTCAAAAACAGAAATTGCTGAGTTTTAATGCAATATTACTAGTTCCAGGAAAGAAAATCGGGTGCCCTGTTCTTACCTCATTACATCTAAATAGTAATTGAACATAACAATACTTGTCAGCATGTGGATATGTTATGTATTCAAGCAACCATGTATACCTAGAATGAAATCTTAACATCTTAACTCTTAGCAATTTCCTTCATCTATTGCCTTCACAACTGAATGTATATAATGGGCTGTAAGAATACATTAGGAGATAGGAGGAAGAGCCTCAGCTTAGACCAGTGATGGGCAACCTTTTTGGCGTGGTGTGTCAAAAATTGGCAAAAAATCAAGCATAACTCGCGTTGTGTGTCA